AACAATATGGCTTAAATTATGTGCAACTATACGTCTCTATAACTAATTACTTTTAATACTAATTGTTTTTATTCGGGCCTCAACACGGTGTGCTTAGATGACCAGAGATCTGTGGATGTTTTGGCGGAGGGTGCTTCTCCTGGAAGTAAGCTAAGTGCAGCAAAGAGACTGAGGAGAAAAGCAGATGCTGGCAAAGAAAGCTAAACAAACTTTACTCTTATAGACATCTTCGTAATATTTTTCCCTGCAGTAGTGCCATGGGAACACTATAGCAGATGCTTAACTGGAGAGTCTAGATAGCCAAACATCTTTGGAGGAAACTTATTACGGAGCTTTCATCTAAGCTAATGTTTTTAGTCTTTGAGAATCCTATGATCTCTAAATCCTTCAGTGACTTGAGCTGTAATAAAACTTCATTTAGAATTTCTGTCTGAACTCCCTACTCCTCCACAGGAGTTCTGTGCTGGATGAAGGAGGAACGGTGGAAAACTGCCTCATGTCAAGTAAACACTAAGCTCATTAAGTCCTGCAACCTCAAAGAGCTTGGCTCCAAGAGCGACCCAGACTGGGAGACGGGCTGTCTAATCACCTTCTCAGTGAGCAGAGGTTTATAAGCCTCTCCATGTCTACAGGCAAGAATTCTGTACAAGTGTTTTGTCTGGAGATCTGTTAAGAAACCCCTGTGTTCAGTATCTAAATAAACCTGAAAATTCAGCAACTAGAAATCTAGAATTAGACTGCGGAGAGATTGATTCTGCTTTTGTTCTGGCCTAGAACAAGTGAATTGGGTCCATTGCAGTAAGGTGACATATATCCAGAGTTTGCCAAAAATGTCTTCCTCTTTCGCAGTTTGTGAAGGCTTTGTGGGTTTTTTTTTAAGTGCCTATAATAACTCTGACATGCTGCTGTCAGAATGGGGGGAAAAAAATACATCACTGGGCGTGTTCTTTCCTCTATGCATTTGGGGAACTGCTGCTGATTTTGACACCTTAAATATGGTTCTTATCTCTGTATGTAAATATCTCCAAGAGGTCTGCCCCTGGGGCAGAGGTCTGAAACCGAAGGATATATGTGACCACAGGCCTAGTTTTTTAAAGACTTCACTTTTTCCCCTGCAGTGAAAGAACCAAGAGCAAAAGATGCTGGTAGACTTACCCATTCAGTATATGACATGCCAAAAGTATCTAAGACCAAAAGGTACAACTTGATCTGTGTTTTGTATTGCTGCCTTTGTGACTGTGACAGCACAGATTTATGCTGGATTAAAGAGACTGTATAACCACAGGTTTAGGCACGGAAATTCAGCCTAACCTGGCTTTATATCAGTGCTTTAAGAGGTCTGCTGGCAAGCCATTTAATTTTTTAAATGCTGTGCAAGTAAACCAGAGTCCTGCTGCTCTGCCTTGCTTGGGTTACCTCTTCTACACTAGAAAAATGAAGTACTATGTATGTATTGGATACTTTTGTTTTTCCATTGCATGCAGCACTTATGCCAGCTATGTCTAAACTCCTTTAAGAACTTATGCCTTAAACAGCTTTGCTCATGTCTTTTTACAGCTATTGTTTAATATATAGCTATAAAACTGATTAGCCCAAGTTCGTTTGCTTAATGCATAAAACACTGAATGAAGGAGCATCTACATTTGCTGTATAGCTTATTTCAAAACTGTCATACTATAAAACACCTATGGTGGGGTTGCTACTGTAATGGTGGTTGGTAACATCATCTTACCCTATTTTTTCTGTCTTCTTTTAAACAATTCCAGCTGGCAGAGGAGGAATGAGCGCTTCCGTCAGCGTTCCCACGATCCCTAAGTAAGGAGCATGACCTTGTGACCATGTGCCAGCTTTCCTTCCTTGACGTAAGAGATGGTGGGAGGTAAAGACAATACTTGCTAAGAAAGATCCCCTGGCTGAGCTTGACTGCTGGAGCTGGGCTGTCACAGGCCATCTAAATAGTATCTTTCTCTGGAGACTGAAAGGCTAGTAGCAAAAAGTGACTATTCTCCCTTATCTACGTTTGACGGAAAGAAAACGTTGCTGTCACTGGGCAGTGGGGAGTTGTTGCCTCCTGTGAGTTTCTAACTAGGTCCGTTGGTCATACCTTTACTTTAGTGCAGACTGATGTTTCATCTTCAGCTGATTGTAAATATTTGGCCCCTCCCGAGAAGAGGACTGTTCTCTGTGTGGCAAGGTAAGAGGAAGTGATTTGCCAGAGCGCTCAGAACAGTATTTGGAGAAGCTTCCTGTTTTTGACTTGGCCGACTGCACAGATCAGCCTACAGGAAAAAAGCAGACTGACCAGAGCTTTTGAGGCTTCTCTAGATATTCATGCTTGATGAAGAGCTAGCATGGATGTAGTTGCTTGGCCTTCATTTTTCCAGCTCCTTGCTGGTAACCTTCTGTTGCAGGCTCCCTATTTGCTGTTACCATGACAAAGAAGTATCTTCACGGTCAATAAAATGCAGCTGTGCAGTTTGCCATTTTTGCAGATCTGTTTTAGTAAAACAAGTAAGAGTTGTGTACCGCTAAATTCTGTCTGTGAGGAAGGTGTTAGAGCGATATCCAGTCTTCTGCCTCCATTGAAACCTACCTTGTTGTACAGGGCATCATCTTTACAGGACGGGGGAAGTATTACTGCACATCTAATGAAAATGAGAGGAAACTTGGACTTTGTAAAAACTTTGCCACCACTTCAGTGTATGAATGCGATAATCGGTTTAGCAATGGATATGTGGTACCTTTCAAAGAGAAGTAGACTTCGCTCCAGACTTGGTCCGGCCAAGCATCTGCTTGCTATATTATTCAGATATCTAAAGGATATGGGGATGTTACGTACCGTACTTGAGAGTAAATCTTCCTTCAGTCACAACAGGTGGCTATTACAATCTTCTGTTCGTAGTGTCAATGCACCTTGCTTTCAGTTGAGGTGAAGGCTTTGATCTTCAGGATGCTATTGTGGCTGTGCAGGAGTCGATGCCTACTCTCTTCCGAGCTGGAATATTTCAAAGAGAAGATGCCCTACAGCCTAAACTGGATGAGAAATAAATAAGCAATCTTCCCCCCCCAAAAAACAAACAAACAAACAAAAAAACACAAAAAAACAAAAAAACAAGCCAGGCAGTCTTAACTTGCTGGCTGTAAAATACTTATCTTTTGATAGTGAACAGGTAGTGCCTTTTTAGACCTGCTTTCATAATGGATGTCTACTAAACGAAGAACTCCCTCCTTTCTTCGTTGCTAGGGTATAGCTTAATTGCAGGAAACTTTACTTCCTGCTTCTCCTTGCTGTGGGTGGGGGTGCTACTTTAATGGTTTGATCATGACACTGCTTTAGTTTTGAAGCCTTCCTTAAATACAAATTCTAGAGAGTGGGTGAACTTAAGATGGAGCAATTAAAGTTAAGCCCATTGTGTATAGTGGCTAGAAACAGCAAAAAAAAAAGAAAGGGGGAGGGTAGGAAGCGGTAAAAACAAACTTGCTGTGCTTCTGCTGGATGACGACCTGTTGATCCAAATGACTTGTGCAGATTATCGATACCGTTAGGTTTGTGGAGAAGTATCTGTTTGTATCCTCTGGCAAGAAGCGGAGCTAAACGGTATGGCAGGAACATGGTTCAGCTGATCAAGTGTCTGTGGGAATGTGTGTTGCAGATATTCGGTCTGTCTGAAATCAAATTTAATCTCTTGTTGCAGTTGGTCTTATACCCAATTTTGACAAGTCCTATCAGAGTATGTTGCTGTGGTTTCTCTAAATAACTAAAGCCTCCAATTTCTCACATTCAAGGAGCTTTTACTTTGCATTTTGTAGGAAGAAGGAAATAATGCGTCAAACTTTGTGTACCTTTCAATCTGTTTTTTTGATAAAGCTGAAGGAGGGAGAGCTCTGTGTTGAAACAGACTATATCTTGGATACTGATTATCTCAAACTGAACTGCGTAATGCAAATAAGGAAGTGCTAAAACTGCTTCAGGAGAGGAAACTTTCGGTTCCCTAACCCAGATTATTGTTCAGATAGCATGGAAAAAACAATGGGTGAAACAATCAGTAGGTTGCTGCAGACCAAGGCAATGGTAAAATGGGTTTTCAGAGGGGTAAGGCTTTCTGCTGCCCTTCCTGGAGAGGGAAGTAATGCAGGGCCAGGCACGCAAATATGTTATGCTCCAGAGTAGCTAGAAATCTCTAAACTATATAAAGGAATTGCCAGTGTTCCGGTTGCCCACTTGAATCGGGGATTTGTAAATGAAACCTGTTCATTGTACGTGACTGAGTAGTAGGAGGTTTGCTGTATGTAGTATGCCTTGTACGGTAGGATTTCAGGCTCATGAAGATGCATATCTCACTTGCCCCTGTTAGTGTCAAGATAGCGTGCGCAGTCTCCAACAAGATTTCATCTCTTAACTCACGTTGAAGAGATGTTGAAGCGTATGCTTTAATTTGCGAAGTTTCCTGTTCTGCACATAAGAATTGTAGCATCGGTACAGTAACTGTACTAACCAAGATCTAGGTCTCATGAGGCAGTGGAGCTGAGCTAACAACTTGGTGCTGACAAAAATGGTTCTGCTGTGTTTCTTGCTTTGACACTCGGTCATGTATTGGAGCTGGTTAAGCTTGCTGGAGGGGGTACACAAGCCCCCTATGTGTATGGGGTTTTTTGTTTTTGGGGTTTTTTGATGAGGAAAGGACTAGACTCCATCAGCAGCAGGGTGTTAAATTGGTGGCATGCCACCAATTCAAGCCATGCCCTCAAATCCGTGGTCTAGGACACTTCTCGCAATACAAAGGCGATCAGCAGCAATCAGATGGTACTGAACTTTATTGAAACCTCTCGGTATCAATATAAAAGATGGTGTTGCTTAGACCTAGAATCTATACCTCTGTCCTTTCGGAGCTGTTGATAAGCACAATTCTTGCGTAGCTCATGCTTTTTTTGTGTATGAACCTGATGTGCTCAGCTGTACATATTGTGACTGAGGGCTGTTGTTGTTTCTGCAGAGTGACCAGCAGCTGGATTGTGCCTTGGATTTGATGAGGCGTCTGCCTCCCCAGCAGATAGAGAAGAATCTCAGTGACCTCATTGACTTGGTGAGTATTGGATGTGTTAACCAAATAACGGCTGAGTCCTGGGTGTGACAGAGGCCTGGTTTGTAAGTCTATGTCCGGAAGCCTCTCTGAGGTGTGGTGATCTGTGATTCTCTCTCTACTTGTGTTTTGGCAAGGTTGAGGAGTAGAGCAATTGCAAAAACAATGTCAGAATCGAGGTGTTCATTTTGGGCAAGCCAGCAGGTACTAGTGTGTATGCACAAACATGATTTGGATGAAGGGTCGTTAGCAGCTTTCTTGATGAAATCGCCACCAGTTTGGAGGCTGCTCTTTAGTAAAACTAATTTGGAACAGTTAATCCAAGCTTGACGTGCACCCTTGTATGTATATATGTGGGTATTGTCTCATGTTAAGCAGCTGCCAGCCTAAACTTTTGCACAGGACTCCTGCTGTAGGTACAGTGGATGTGCAGTGACATGTGCTTCGAAGACGTGACTGTGACAGAATATTTCAGAACCAGAACTCTGGAATTCTGGAGAATGCCCAAGTTCCTTTATTTATAAATTATGCCCTATCAGATATTTTGCTGTCCAGTGAATATCCAGGGGGGAAAAAAAACAGCTGAATGACCTTGTGCCAACACCTGTGTTTTCCTCTTGCACCAGCAACATTTACTTTCCTTCTATAAATTGTTAGTAATGGAAACTAACTTGTAAAGACTTAATGACGCATATGCCTGTCACCAGCCACATAGAATTTACTTGCGCTTCCTATGAAGTGAGGAGATAAACTTGGGCTATCATAGGCTAATTAGCATCAACTCCCCCTGAAAACAGTGTGGCACAGTTGCCTCTGGAGCAACTTTGTGCATTATAGAAATATGGATATAATGTATATAAAACCTACTGTATGGAAAGCTGGGGAAACTTGTTTCCATTGTCCAGTCCAAATAGATGGCTTTCTGACCTAAGCTTCCAAGCTTTTGCAGATAGATGACATGGAGAGGTCTCTGACCTTTGAATGAAGCCTTTCCTCTTACCTTTCCATGAGAACCACATTCCTTTTCTGTGGCAAGAAGTCTGAATTTATTTGTGTGAGATGCTGACAAACCTGGAGCCTTACCTGGTGAGGGGCCTTAAAGATCTGATGGTTCTGCACAATCATAGCTGCTTGAGCAAGTACCTCTCACTTGTTTAAACAGTCTGAGCTCTTTGTCATCTTTGTGTGCAGAAGAGGTGCTGCTTTTAATTCACCTATAGTGTAAGTGATGCTTAACTTTCAAGTGAAGGCTTAGCTGACCTTTTTTTCCTGGAGGTCTGCTCCTCAATTGCTGAACAGATCATATGTAAAGGATTCCCTTTAACGGCCTTGAACCTTTTGGGTAAGAGCATTGCAGGGGATACTCTTCAGATTTGTGAAGTCTCAGTAAATTTGTTTGTATTCCTAAAACTGTTCAGGAATTCACTGAGGATGCAGGGAGGGAAAAGCCTTTCCTACCTGACCAACGAAGTTGATGTTTGATCTGGTATGTTCTTAGCATATTCCTTCAGCAACAGGAGTCCTGCAGAAACAGAAGCTGCAAGAGAAGCTTCAAACAAGCCATATTCACATCTGCCTGGAAACTTCTCTGCCGACGACTTTCTTTTAATAGTTCAGGAAAATAACTGCTCCTGTTGTATGCTTTTGTTGTGCTGTGACTTGAGTAGGCTTTCTGCATGATATTGAAGCTGGTGTTAGTGAACTTGGGAGGAACGGTCAAAAAGCTGTGGCTGACTAAAATTTATCAAATGCTACTTAAATAATGCTTTTTAGCTCCATAAGTCAAGGTACAGGTAAGAAAACTGGGTCAGGAAATAAATTTTTCTGTACAGGAAGGTAGTATTTCTTTTTCTTGACAGCATTTAGTAATTGGCTACATCTGTGCCATCCAGACTCTTGGCAACCTAAGCATTGTTTTGTGGCTATTGCTGGAGGTAGGATGAAGAATAACCAAATCATTGATATGATTTGGTGTGACACAGCTGATTTTCTGATGAAGCTTGGAGTGACCGAAGATCAGGATTTGAGTAAGTCTAAGGACTATCTGGAACAAGGAGTTGTGTGGGGAACTATGGTAAGCTTGACTATATAATTGGTATGAGTTTTTTTTAATGACTCAGAAAATTGCTGGTTACCTCTAAATGTTGGAATTACTTTTGGATGGTGCTCATTAGCGCTCTACATACTTTCCATCAGCAACACATTCACTGGGCTTCTTGTTCATGTTGAAAGTGTAACGTGAAGCAGAGCAGTTTGAACCGCACGCGTTAGAACAAGGGTTTGTGATTCCCGCTCTGCTTTCTGCACTCCCTGCTCTTGGGTGGAGATGAAATAATCTGCTAAATCCAGAATGAGTTCTTCATTGCTGAGACATCTGTAGGTCTCTGCTGCTGCCCACTCTGGTTGACCCTCACAAGACAGAGGCCAGTACTCTTGTTAGACAAGAGCAATGCATACGCTGATACTGTAATAGTAATGTTGCACCTGTAATAGTTCCAAAAACATCATGAGTCAGACTTGAGCAAATAAAGTTTCTGACCTTTTTTGGCAGTTCTATCCAAACCTTTACAGTTGACGTTTTTATGCTGTTTGCTGCACCATTACCAGACAATAGCCTCCTTGAAGTAAAAGGTCAGACTTGAAATGCATGACGAGCATGAGCAGGTTCATTAAATTTGTGATAGAATTATAAAAGATGGCACTCTGACTTCCCTTTCCTTTGTGTTTGGTTTCCTTGCCTCATTACACTTCCATGCTGGAGTAGACTTGACACAGAGCCCCAGCTCATTTTTTTTCTTTGTATGTGAAGTGTAACTTATTACTTTAAACCTGCTTGTGGCTCGCCTTTCGTAGTCTTTCTATAATTCTGTGCCATGAGGCTAGAAATTGCTCTCCAGACTGTGCGTAACTACTGTTTTGATGCTGGTTTTTAAGATCCAGTACGAAGAGATGATGATGACTACTCTGAGGACTTTGTATGCAAAAAGGTTTCCAAAACCAATATAGTAAGAAACTGCCATCTACTTTCTAGGCTTGTCACCCTGCTGGGAAGGATAACAGCACTTACGTTCCCTCACTCAGGTCCTCATTGCTCTGTCAAAGCCAGGTTCTGCTGCTTTTTAAATAAAAAACATCTGGGTGCCAATATAAGTACGTGGAACATGTTCAGGACTGTACACTACTGCCCCCAAGCGTTGAGCTGACAAGGGAAAGGGTCCAAACTTGAGCGCAGAGTGAGAGGGTGGGTGGAAGAAGAGAATTTTTGGGTCACTGGCCCTCATCAGACCAGACACTTTCCATTCATTAGCAAAACAGTTTGTGGTTTGCCCTTTTGCCACATCTGTTGCTGCTTTTTCAGGCTGCAGAGTCTTCAATTAGAGTTCATTAGAGACCTTGTCAATCATAGGACTCCTGAAGTCCTGCCTGAAAGAAACTGTGCATGGTGCTAGTAATGTTGCTAGTAATGTGCCTTGGCATGGAATGCTCTGTTTAGAGTTTAATTAGTCATTAATTGTACATAGACTACTTGGAGGCTGTCAGAGTGTGCACGAGGACTTCTGAATCACACTATAAAAAGTGGAGTTTAGTGTAGGCACATACCTTTTTAAGGATAACTGATCTAAACCGGAATAATTTTCTATACAATTCTTCTGAACACTGGAGTAACCGAAGCCTTGGAACATACCGCTGTCAGCCAAGTCCATGCTCTAATGCAGTTCCCATAAGAGGAATGTTACAAAGATGTCTCTGCTGTTCTTAAATGGTGTTGTCATGAGGTTACCCCCGAGTGATAGCACTTGTCATATTAATACAGGTTTTCAATCTGTATTGTGTAAAGAAGGTCTCACCTCCTTATTGCCTTATGTTGTCCAGAAGAAATAGGTGCTGTCAACATCCTGTACTTATCATAAAAGAAAGTTATGAAACAAATGTGTCTCCCCTCTACTCCTGTCACTTGGCTGAAAGGAGGATGTTAAAGGTATTTTCTGGATGGAAAAGCTGCTTGTATCATTTAAGAGTAAGATTTTATTTTGGCTCATGAAAGAATCATTCAAGGTGGCATGAAGTAAGGAAGCTGGTAGAACTCGTTTCTGAGTGGCTAAATGGTTTGTATCAGAAGATCAGGACAATCCCAAAGAATTGTCCTGCTTCCTTCCTCTTGAGATAGCGAGTTGACAAGCAGAATTTCTGAGGCTCTCATTGAAATAAGTAGCTCTTGTCTCCTGCAAGGGTACTTGAATCTATTTGCTTTGGCTAGAAGACGGTGGAGTTGCATTTAGCTGGAAATAAGTGCCCCCTTCCACAGAAGTATCCTATAAATGTGTAGCTCCTGCAGTCTTTCTTGAAGTTAATCTGAGAGCTTTTTTTATGAGGGAGACATCATGGAATGTGATTCATAGCGTGCGGTTTTCAGGAAGCAGGTGGAACATTCCATATTTACGTTCCAAAGGCATAAGGTTATATGGAGTCTGGCCTTGGTTAGGCTATTCTGGTATACAGAATGCCTGCCTGCCTGCTTCAGTTCTTCCAAAAGCATACGGTTAAATGCCTCCCATGAGTGGGCTTGGAGTTGGAGACATGGGAGTGTGTGCGGAGTAAGTCAGTCCCCCTGCACTTTTAGCTGTGCTCTTTCCAAGAGAAACCCTGAAGAAGGCGGACGCTTTCAGGTAGTGCTGTTCTGGAGGATCTCTTCCAAGGACAACTTGGAAGCACACAGAACAAGGTAGGTGAATGAGAGTCTGTCATGCCTTCCTTTTTTGCAAGACTGTTGGCTTCATGGATGTATTTTGGAGGGGTACATCTCTGGGAAAGGTTGGAGAATGGAAGGAGAAGGACGATGGAATTTGGACTAACTGTGCTCGTGGCCGGTGTGCAGCAAATAAAGGGTCTCTGATAGGTCTCGCTTGATGACTTTGACCTGAATATGAAAGCTAATGTGCGCTCAATCTTGGCAGAAGTTTAGCAGGTTTCTTTGCGAGTAAGAAAGTCCTGCTGAGCATTTA